GACTAATATTTCAGTGCACTTATATTCTGAATTTTACGGTAAATGTTACAACTAAGGTCAGAATTGAAATATCGTCACGTCACTCTGTGTGTGAGAGGGCGGAGTTCTTATTTAGGGTTAGGGGTCAAGTTAAGGGTCAAGTTGAGGTCATGGGCTGGAAAAAATGTGGAAGATTTTAATTGGTTGATTTTATTTTTTCTTTAATATTTTACCCTTTTCCAACAGTTTTTGTCGTGCCCATAATATCCCAGTCCTGGCCACACCTCAGGCACGTCTACCTGTGTAACCCATCCTTCTCCTCCTTCATTTGAGAACATTCTTTGAGACTTCGACAGTTGAAGGTTGGGATCCTACAGGTCTGCCTTTTTTATTTTCTCTGGCATAAATATAATTCAGCGATAAAACAACATTTGAAAAAATGATTTAATCTTTTATTGTGTATGAAATGTATCTAATTGCTCAATTTGTTGCATGAATTTTTAGTTGATTTTTTTTTTTAATTTTATTATATATTAGAACATATTGATTTCTGGAATATTATGATATATTTTAACATGTGTTCTAACGCAATGTACTGCAGTTTTTGTCTTACCCCTCAGGCGTTGTTTTTTGTTTTTCCATGTCACCACTTAACACATGTAATTATGTCAAGGAGCTGCACAGCTATATTAAATTACCATTTTTAAGCTGACGGGTTTGCCTTTGGAACAGAATATGTGTAAGTAAATACTGTGAACTGTGTACTAGTACTGTGTATTTGTACAGGGTTGAAATGGAAGAAAATCAAAGAGCCAAGGAGACAAAGCCTGAACCAGCAGAGAGGGAGGTGTGGGCCAATAAAGTGGAGTTTGTCCTGGCCGTCGTCGGTCACATTGTCGGCCTAGGGAACGTCTGGAGGTTTCCCTATCTTTGTTACAAAAATGGAGGAGGTAATGTGTCACGGAGTTATTTGTGGCTCCGCGTTAAAGTGATGAGTAATGAACGATAATTTGACAACAACAAAGTTAAAGGTTAAAAACCTTTGTTGTTTAACAGTTTCATATCATGTAAAAAAAAAGTCTAAATAACAAAAAGTGCATGTTTTTCCCTTTTGTTTTTATGCAAAAAGATCAGAAATATATATACTGTATATATATATAAAACATTTTTTATATATATATATATATACAGTTTTGCCGGTTCTGGCCCACGGGCCGTATGTTTGACATCCCGTGTTTTATAGATTATTTTAACATCCACTCAGTAAAGTGGATTGATTATTTTAACATCCACTCCAGATTTATGTATGTAAGGTGTGGCACTGATGACAGGCTGTGTCCCTGAACACATCACAAAACACAAACACTGGTTGACCTGTAGGCGGTGCTGTACCGTCAGGTTTGTCTGTGGAACTGTGTACTGCCTTGCAGTCTTGCAGTTTAGACAGTGAGTCAGTGAAGTAGCCACAAATATTAAAATTGAAAAAAAGAACCGCCTGAAGGCCTTAACGTCACGCTAGTTTAACATTAGCTCCTTTTGCTAAATCATTTCAGCATCGGCTTTTCTACAGTGTTCTCGGCAGCAGGTTTATTGCTAACCTGCTAATGTAGGAAGTGTTTCTTTGCCCTAACGTTGTCTCTGTTGTTCTGTTTCAAAAGGGGCATTTTTTATCCCGTATGTTTTGTTCCTGTTCACCTGCGGATTACCGCTGTTCCTCCTGGAGACGTCGTTGGGTCAGTACACCAGCAGTGGTGGAATTACCTGCTGGAGAGAAACCTGTCCTCTCTTTGAAGGTGAATCTTCAGCTATGTTTTTGAACACATGGTTCAAACCCCGACCGATGCCAACAGTACGTTCTGAACTCGCTGTGATCAGGTTTAGGTTATGGAAGCCAGGTGGTGACGTTGTACACCGGCATCTACTACATCATCATACTGGCCTGGGCGTTTCTCTATCTGTTCTCATCCTTCGAGTCTGTGCTCCCGTGGGCGAGCTGTGACAACGCGTGGAACACAAGTAATTCTCTTTTAAAATTTAATAAAAAAAATTTCAAAGATATTTTTTAGGGATGTCCAATATTAACTTTTTGGATAAAAAAAATTTCAAGGATATGTTTTAGGGATGTCCGATATTAACTTTTTGCCGATATCGTCCAAACACCTAATTTCCGATTCCGATATCAACCGATACCGATATATCCAGGCAGTGGTGTCCTGGTGGTTAAGGAAGTGAAGTGCAGCCTGCTCACTAAGGTGATGGGTTAAAGCAGTGTTTCTCAATTATGTTCTGTCGTGCTCCCTCTAGAGGACAATTTTTTCTCCCTTCCAAATTGAAATACTATTAAGCGCCTGGTAATATTTATTTGTTTATCAGTGTAAAAACCACTGTATGAGTTACTAGCACCAGTATTCTGCGTACAATCTCCTGATTATTAAAATGAGCTACAATGCTGCCATCTAGTGGCTTTCACTTTCATATACAGCCGTTTTTTCCCAAAACTATTTTTAGATCAGACATCATTTGGTGAAACCAAGGCGTTTTATCGGGAAAAAACAATAACAATTCTTACAGATAAGACATTATTCTGCTAATATCGGTCGATATTATCGGACATCCCTCATATTTTTACACACATTCCTATTTTTTATTGATCTGATAATCACACTTTCTTTTTTTTTAAGAAGACTGTTTGGATCCCAGCCAGAACCAGACGATCACTCTCTTCCTGCATGAAAATAAAACATCTTCAGTGGTCGAATTCTGGGAGTAAGTTGACCTCAGACAAGTCTCTCTGTGTTTAAAATACATATTTATGTCATCATCATACT